ACGTAATGTTCAAAGAATGGTATCAATTTAGGGGACAAGATATTTTGCTGGTAGGGCGCGCTGCTTTTCACAGAGTACTCGTTTAAATACTTACGCGGGAAGTCTTGTTGCTATTGACAGCTCTGAAAAAAAATATTTTAAGAAACATGGAATTAATATTATTTAAAAACTACACAAATGTAATAATCAATTATTTGTTAACATGAAATTTTTAATATTATTTTGAGGTTACTCACTTTTGATACTTTGAATAAAGCCACTTTTCCTAAATTCTCACTTGCCTTTCGGTCACTAAGGCAACCATAAACGGCACAATACTTTCCCATTTTTTAATCAAAATAATTCTAAAAAGATAAATTAATATTTTATATTTAATTTACGTGTAATAATAATAATAGTATGGGTACGCTCTGAATACTTGCGCAGCCAGTGGCAAAAAAGAAAACTATGATCTGGATCAAGAAATGATTACCATAAAAAATGTGAAAAATCCTATATTGTTCGGACTCCTGGTATCTATCCTCCGTGTCTATTGCGATCGCCCTCCTGTTATCTACCCCGTTTTCCAATTACAGAGCATAATGGGACTCAGTGTCGCACAATGCGGCATCGTGCTAATGCTTAATTGGAACATGAATTAGTTTTCAAGTGCACCAGCAGAGTGCGCTAAGTTCAGTGTTGAAACAAAAAATATTCATAGACTTAGCAACCTCATTAATGTATAAATAAAGTGGTAAACAATAATAATTGGTCGAAAACTATTTACGGTTATTTTAAGTAATTTGGATTTTGATTATTTGATTACCATTTTTTTAATAAATTTATTTATAGTTTATTTTATATTTTTTTCATAAATTTATTTATAGTTTTGTATTTTAAAATGAAATTGTATTCATATTTTATGTGTAGAATATAAAAAAAAAATAGTCAATGTTTATACCTTCATCCATACTTATATTTATTTTTTAACAGTCTGAATTAACTTTTTATTATTTCCAAAAAACTACGACGAGAAGAAAGCTTTAAGAATTTTTTCAATAATAAACAATATTACTAACGATAATATACATGCAATTTCGATCAATGCCAACTTAAAGAAAAAACACTTGGTTATTTTCTGCTACTGAGTTGGTATCGATTGCAAGCAACACTTTTTACAGTGCTCGATTGTGCGATGCGATGCTCTAGTTGAAACATTCAACGTTGAGCATTATGCCGCATAATGCGCTTTAGTGCTGTAATTGGAAAACGGGGCTAGGCTCCGTGTTATGCATATACATAGAAAATATAGGAATATTTTAATGTTTTGTATTGGACTAATATTTCTGGTTTCTTATTTCCAAGTAATGTAATGTGTCGTTTTAACCAATAGATAGTATTAATGACAATTGTACTATTTAGTGTCAACTCTGTCTAAAAATTAATTCATGCAAGACTATATAAGGAACTAGAGGGCCTAATAAAAATATTAAATTTATTCAGCAGTAGTAAGGAAACCAGAGTTAGTCGTTTTTGGTTCTTGACAGCGACAATAGTAAACAAAAGGAGAGAGATCAATAAAGTATAAAAGTATCTTTTCGGAAGAATTACTTGTTGAATTTTAAATTTAATAATGTTAATTAAAAATTCTCTTTTTAATTTTTAATAACAGGTAAAAGAATCTCCTTTGATTTACGCATTGAAATTATAAAAATCATGGAAGTTGATACCAATGGTACTCCTTATTCGTTAAAAGGTGATAAGAAAGAAGATGAAGTGAGTACTTGTTATAAATTTTTGTGTTTATTTATAAAGTAAAATATTTTTAAATAATGTATTTAATATAATAATTTATCTTGAGTGTTTTTAAAATTGTTATATTAAAGTAGAAGCTAAACGCGCATTATATTTTTCACTTTTGATTGAAATGATCATAACTGTAATAATTGCAATATATAAAAAACTATAATATTTATTTATTTTAAATAATACATAGATAAAGATTCATTATAAAAAATATTATATTTAATAATATATTTCTTTTTATAGATATTGCTGCAGCCATTTAATTATATTCTTCAAATTCCTGGAAAAAAAATACGAACTAAATTAGCACATGCTTTTAATTATTGGCTAAAAATACCTGATAATAAACTCCAAGCTGTTGGAAATATTACACAAATGCTTCATAATTCTAGTCTCTTGTAAGTTGATAAAAATTCTATCTTTTTATATTTGTACTATTTTATTTTTATAATTTTATGTAATTTGTTTATATATATTATATATAAATTTTAAATAATTATATGCATCATAATTATATTTTTTTAAATTGTATATACGTATATATATAATTATTTACAGAGAGTATCTCTCTATGATGTTAAACTATTTAATATTACTCATTATAGACTAGATGATATTCAAGATGATTCTATTTTAAGAAGGGGAATTCCAGTAGCACATTCTATTTTTGGTGTGCCTAGTACCATAAATGCTGCAAATTACGTCTTATTTATTTCTTTAGAGAAGATTCTTGCCTTAAATCATCCAGAAGTAAGTCTTAGTATTAATAAATTTTTTAATGTGTTTTTTACTTACTTGGATAATAAATTTGATATTATACTAACGAATATCAATTATTTTATTAGGCAACGCAAATATTCACGGAACAAATTTTAGAGCTTCATAGAGGTCAGGGAATGGAAATATATTGGAGGGATAATTATATTTGTCCAACTGAAGATGAATACAGGCATATGACTATTAAAAGTGAGATAGTTTAAAAAAAGTATATATATACAGCCATATTTTTTTTCTTTCAATGTCACCCAATCTATTTTTAAATAAATAATAGAAACAGGCGGACTCTTCAATATGGCGGTGAGATTGATGCAATTATTTTCTACATGCAATGAGAATTTTTCACAATTAGCAGGAATTATAGGCCTTTACTTTCAAATACGAGATGACTACTGTAATTTGTGTAGTCAAGAAGTAAGTTTGCAATAGAAGTTAATATTTTGCATTAGATTTATGTTTTAAATGTATATAAATATTTTTAAATATAAATTTAAACAATGTTTTTTTGTTAGTATATAGAAAATAAAAGTTATTGCGAAGATTTATCTGAAGGAAAATTCAGTTTTCCGGTTATTCATGCAATAAGACATCATCCTGAAGATAATCAAATAATGAGTATCCTTTAAAAATTGATATATAATTAAGTAATGTGAAATCGAGTAGCTCTATCTCAAATAAAATAGGTATTCGTGAAAAAGTTGACCGGAAGTCTTGAATAACTCAATGGATAGAGCAGTCATCCGAAAAGTGGATGATCCGAGTTCGAATTTTCAGTTCAGTCAATCCAGGGACTTAATTTTTTCACGAATTCTACAATAATTTAATTTTTTTTTCTTTTTACAAGTTATTATTCCTTAATGTTTTTTAATATAGATATTTTAAGGCAACGGACTAAAAACATTGAAGTTAAACGTTATTGTGTAAATTTATTAGAGAAATTTGGATCATTTGCTTATACGAGGCATGTTCTCGAAACTCTAGATAAAAAAGCTAGAGATGAAATAGAACGACTAGGAGGAAATCCACTATTGATCACAATTTTAGATGAAATTAAAAATTGGTGTCCTCAAGAAACTTAATTACACTATGTAATTACATTATTCTATAAAATTATATTTTAGTTTCAATTATATAAAAGTTACTATATTTTAATTTTTATTATGTATATCTGGCTTATAATAATGTAACTGTAACTTGTGGATTTTTATATCAATAGTGAAATTATTAAATATTTTAAAAAATATGACATTAATAAGACATGATTAAATTTAAATTTTGTGTGCTACAATTGATTTAATTATATGTAAAATTTAGGAATGAATAATAATATTGTAGTACATCCAATATTATATTATATAACAGTATTAAAAAAATCGATAATATTTTATGCATTAAAATTAATATTAATTATTTATATATTAAAAGAAATATGTATGTGGAGATCTGTTGTAGAACTTACCAATTCATCTATGTAAAAATAAAGTACATTTTTATCTTATACTTATTGATTGTTTTGATTTTTTATCGTATAAATTAAGTTTATATAATATTATAAAAATATTCTCAATATATTGAATGATTTTCTATATTTGTATTACTTTTACACATGTATAAAATATACGATATAACAGTTATACTATTATTACCGCGTCTTTAATAAGTTGACAACTAATTATATATTTTCAAGTTTTATTATCAATGCTATGGTAATAAATACAGGACTGTGTCACGAAGCCTTACGTTAATTAGCCTTAAAATACGCAGCGAAACTTCAGAAATAGATTCTTCATATATATAAAGAAGCATTATTATATTAATATGAGTTTGTGGAGATACATCATTTCTGAATTATAATTTTCAAGTACGATCTTGGTGTATAACAATTATGTTTATTATATTGACTGAAATTAAATATAAGATACTAGTATCAGGTTCAAATATATAATAATTTTTTAGATTATATCATGTATTCGATATAACTTATTTCCTTTTTATGATTAAAGAATCATTCCTAAAATTATGCCGAGTACTTTTTATTACACCCAATATATGAGTATTTAATAATATATTGTATAATACATAACGTTCATAAATCAGTACCTATGTTAATATATTTTTTGTACATTATGTAATAATATATTGCATTTTTATATTCATTATAAATAAATTTATTATATTATAAAATTGTGTAAAAAAGGCTTCATAATTCCAAAATAAACTTCTATATCAACAAACAAAAAAACTTATTACTCAATATTTCAGCTTTATCCTTTGTATGCTATAATTTATAGTTTCTTTTTTACTAACGATTAATTTAACTTATGATCCACATATCATGTTAAACAAATCTTTTTTAAATATGACTTAAAATTTATTCTATATATGGGGCATTCCACATAAAATCGACAACTTTGGACCCCGATCCCTTTTGATTTGGCTGAAACCTTTTTATCATTTTCTACCCCAAATAGCCGTAACTTTGTCAAAAATTTACTTATCGGGACGTTTCTTGTTTTAAAATTTATTCTATATATGGGGCATTCCACATAAAATCGACAACTTTGGACCCCGATCCCTTTTGATTTGGCTGAAACCTTTTTATCATTTTCTACCCCAAATAGCCGTAACTTTGTCAAAAATTTACTTATCGGGACATTTTTTGGTATAAGTTATAAAAAAAATATTTTTTAAAATCAAATTCTTCAAGAAATTTTGTTTTTTGAAAAACCACAAATTTTTCAAATTCCGGTATTTTTTATTTTTTTTTATTTTTTCTGTTTAAACTTTGGTTTATTTTAAACTCAATTCCGAGCTTCACCTGATGGACTGACGTTTCTTTCTATTTTCTTCCCTAATTTAAAAATTTGTTTGAAATGAAAACTTCTTTAGAATCGGGCTGATTTGAAAACGGATGAAACGCAAGCAATGTAGGCAAAGCGACAAAACGTTACGTCACTAAAAAGAAAAAAACAGATAAACATATATACATCTATAGGACTTAGTCAGAGAGAATGAGATAGAATATAGGATACAGTTTTCCCTATTATCTTGGTCTTCTCTTTATGAGGTGTTTCATAGTCCACTCTCCTGGCTATTAAGTGTTGTCATGTGTATGCTTGTGTGCGACTGCATATTACAAAGCGTAGATTCATATTATCTCAAACACATACTTAAAAACATAAGTTAGTTCTTGGACTGGACATAGATGGTACTTACTATTTGCCGTCTCTCACAAGCAAAACTGTATTATAGTCTCTACATAAGATTCGAGCACCAGAAAAATTTAAAATTTCGATCTATAGGACCATATCTGTAATAAGTCTTTGAAAGTTCTTAACCCATTAACTGCCAAATTATTTTTTGTTTCAGAAATATTTATATTTTTTAAAAAGTCTTAAATGGGGATTGTGGCTGGTTGCACGAAAAAAAAACCAAAAAGAGACTATCCCCAGTGAACACAAGACCTTAAAATGATGTCATACGTATGTCATAAAGTCATCTTCAAATTTTTTCGTACACATGACGGAATGGTGACTTTATTTATGACCTCAATATTAAGTCATATGTWCTGACTTAAAAATGACRTAATAATTYCATCATATTCTTACAGCAAAAAACGAAAGGTTGACTTTTTTTTTTGAAAAACTTTGTATTTTGAGACTATAAATTAAGTATATAATATTGTAAAATTGTTTAATTGCATTACTTTAATTTAAAAAAAAATTAATTAAACATTTTTTTTCAATTAAATAAAAAAAAATAGGAAACTAACTCAACTTACTCTGGGACTGGCGGGGATAATCGCAGATTTAGACAAAGTTTTTTTCTATAAAATAAAAAAAAATGAAAAATGGCTAACTTCTAGAAACTAACGGTTTTTCTCAAAAAATACGAAAATTTCATGGATTTTATAATTTTGAAATTTTTTTGTATTTTTTTCTGAAAAGTATATTTAAAAACAAATATTTAAAAAAAAACGTTCCAATAGGTTGAATTTTAAAGAAGTTATAGCCATTTCAAAGAAAAGAGCCATTTTTTCAAAAATTAAAAATTTTTTTTGGGTTTGGTACAAAAATTTGAAATAATTCTGAAAATTGTTTTTCATAGGGTAGCATAAGATAAAAAACTTTCAGCCAAATCGAAAGGGGTCGGGGTCAAAAGTGACCGATTTAACGTGGAATGCCCCATATATATATGTGGGACGAGCGCCTCCATGCCAAACTTATTGGGCATTCGTGGGAAGAATTGGTCGGTGGGCTCTGGATAGCTCAATTAGTTAAAGAGCAGTCGCTCGGAAAGTGAAAGATCCGTGGTTCGAATCCCGGTCCAGTCAGTTTCAGCGGTCCAATTTTTTTCACGAATCCCACACATGGGGGCTCGTCCGGGATGGAGGGTCTGCTTCGTAACACGTTCCACAGTTTTAATCTTAGTGAGAAAACAAAATTAAAAGAATCTTAGTGAGAACAAATTAAAGAATCTTAGTGAGAAAAAAAATTAAAGACGAAGTTAAGACGAAGAAAGACGAAAGTTGAAGTTGGTGGCGAAGGACACCACAAAAAGAAGGAGATAAAGTTGGGTGGCATATAACATTCGGGGTCGAATGTTGTTAAAAGGGGGGTGGAATGTGGGACGAGCGCCTCCATGCCAAACTTATTGGACATTCGTGGGCAGGATTGGTCGGTGGACCCTGGATAGCTCAATTGGTTAAAGAGCAGTTGCCCGGAAAGCGAAAGATCCGTGGTTCGAATCCCGGTCAGTCAATTTCAGTGGTCCAATTTTTTCACGAATCCCACATATATATATTAGGGTAGGTCAAAAAAATCAATTATTTTTTTTTTACAAGTGCCACAGAAAAATGTGTTGCTAGACACCTTAAAAAATTTCTTACCAAATATGAGCACTTAATTTTAATTGGAAAATCCTCCGCATCGCAGTTTTTTATTTTTTTCTCAGTCCAATAGAATAAAATTCATACTTCGTCATTAATTGATTGTACAGAAAAATGTTCGGGAATTTTGTAGGAAATTTAATGCTCTATAAAAAAGGTATCTTATATTTTTTCCGTAAACCTCACCATTTGAATGATATTGAAGATTTAAGTTTAATTATATATATATATATTTAAAAAAACGGTGACGGTAAGTCACCTTATAAGTATATATTTTCAGTGGATTAAATGAATATGTCTAATGGTTATTGTACCATCGGAGGTACACGTGGCACGGAACGTGTTAATTATAATTTATATTATTAATTAATGTTATATTTTATTATTTAATATTATTTATTAATTGTAATTAATAATATTGTTAATTATATATGGATTAGTAATATAATGGAAATTAGCACAAGTTCGCATGGCTCAGTGAGGCAAATCACCATCCAGTAGTAATGTCCATCCAGTAATCGTATGTTCCCGAATTCAAATCCCGGGGGGTGAAAAACAAATTATACGTCATATACTAGTAAGAAATTCGGCAACAACTAGATATCTTTATGACAACATTGCTTTTTTGTTCTTTTGTTTCGTCAGGTCAGCTTAACGTCATATTTATTACGTAAAAGTCTTACGTCAATAAGTGTGAAATAATGAGTCACATGTGACTCATATCTGACTTATATCTTACGTAAATCCTGACATAGGGCAAAATCATTTTGACGTCATTTTGATGTAATTGTTTTCACTGGGTATGATTTTGGTATCTATCTATGGCTATCGCATTCGGCATTCCATTTTGATTATTAGTATTTGGAAAGTGGTAGTTTTTGTCTACTACCTCCACTCCAAGATCATCCGGTGCCCATTTTTATATAGGATAACAATATTATAACAAATAAATCCTACAATTAGCCTACTTTTGATATTCTGGATTCGTCTCATTCTCTCGAAGCTTGGTTTTTTGAAGGTTTTACTTTTAAGGTATTGTGATCTGCATATATCTATTTCAATTTTATTTTTTCGCAATTTAATTTTGTTTTTTAATACTAACATAAGCCTAAATAAATATATATATAAATATTTTTCAGTCTATTTAATGACCTTAGTTTAATTATATACTATTGAAAATTATAATTATAAAAAGATGATAATGCTCGTTTCCTGTTTTCTAATTAGTGTGTCAAATTTGATTGTTGTTATAAAGGTTTATAAAATTTTATAACCCATAGTAACTCAGTCTGTCCTAATATATCATTTTTTAACTATATTATTTTTCATTATATAAAAATTTTTTTTTTAGAACAAACAATTATTGACTTCGATCTGTTAAAATAATTCTTGAAAAACGTCCCGAAAAGTTTCATTTTAAAACGTAGACTATCTAATTTCTTTATCTCTTTTACTTCATTTAGAAATATGTCAAGAAATTTATTTTTTAATTAGATTTTTATTTTGTTTATGTCATAACTTTATAGTTAAGACACTGTAGCTATTTGACACGTCTTTGGTTCAGGTTCACTATCCTCATCGGAGTCACTGACCCAAGAGTTTTGATGCTCCTGTCATATTTCCCCGTCGCTGTCACCAATTCGTACTGTTGGCCCAGATACACCGTCATCCAATACCTCTGATATCTATATCAGAAAAATTCTTTTAGTAAATAGTTTCTACTAAATTATTATATATATTTGTTACCAGTAAAACGTGAAATCCGTTAATTCATGAAATAATTGTATTAGCCGATTAAAGCACGAAACAAGGCAGAATTGCATACTTAACTAAGTAATATTTGAATTCACGAAGAGAAGAATAATTATAAAACTATTTAATTAATAAATATAACTATTTATAAATAGTTATATTATAGACGATAAGACAAGTATTTAGTTCTTTCTTTATATTTTATTTTGAATACGCTATCGATCTTAGTGAAAGAAAAAAACTGGGAGGGCCATAAAATCCCAAATAAACTTAAGAATTATCGAGACATATTGGTGCGATGACAAACTTTGTTCATTGTCGGGCCCTTTGAGTGGTCTCGGATTCCTATGTAAACGCATGCGATATCATAAGGAGAAATGATATTCCTTTATTTTAGATAAAGTTTTTTTATGCATAACTTCTACTACGATCTTTCCCAAAAACATAAGCTGTACCCATCGGTGGACTATGGGGGTAGATCCTTCTATTATTGGTCAATAAGATTCATAATTTTCTTCCCTCTCCAAAGAACTGACGGCTTATTAAGGGGACCTTCTACTCTGCAGTTTTAAAAAAATTTTTTTTTTTTTTTTTACATTTTTCGAATGTATATATATGTAGAAATATTGTGTTAAAATTTCAAAAAGATCCGATGTCTCTAACTACATTTTTTTGCTGCCTGAACGTTACTATCTCGGACCGCTCT